CCCCAAAACCCCAAAACCCCAAAACCCCATATAAATATTATCTATCAAATTAGTTAAAATAAAAATTAATAAATAAACGTAACGAGATATTATTTGATGATTTTTTTAAGTATTTTTTTCTGAATCATTTTTATGCAAGACCAATAGTTATAGAGCCCACAAGAGCACATGTAATTGCCATGATCTCAAAATAATTTGGAACTCTTCCTTCAATCATAAATTCAAAAATGAGTTAAAATAGGTTTTATAGCTAACTCATTGACATGATAATACCTCCTTTACCAAATTAGATTGCGAAATTGAAAGAAATAATAGCTACAGTAATCGAGAGTACAGCTATTTAAATTAATATCATTTGAGGCCATGTGTATGGCTCCATTGTATTCCAGGAATAAATAAACAGTCCCAAGAATAAAACTCCTGCTGCTATCTGTTAATCAAGACTAAATCTTAGAATATGATAGCCATGCTCTTAGGATTTCCTTATAATTAAAGTAGAAGTAGTCAAAGTCAAGCATGATAGCATTGCAAAAAATAATGGTATTAGAACTGAAATTGGGTCTTCAATTAATGCTATTTAAGTGCTAAAACTCTTAGATATAGAAATAAGCACTACACATAAAAGAATTAGTCCCATTCCAATAAGATGTTGGATGCTTAGTTTCTCTTTGTAGAAAATAAAAAAAGCAAGAGCAGTTGTAAATGAAGCCAGACTGACTGTAGAAAGTATCACACTGGGACTTATATCAGCCATTTTAGAGTAGTATGCAATGATTCCAATATTGATATTCAACCATACTGAGATCATTCCTCTAATTACCACACAAAAGAGACAAATGTACTTAAGTTTATTGGTTTACTTGTCTACTATTTATGATTCTTAAGGGATCCATATTTTGCCATGCTTTCTGAAACTCCTGAATGCGAGATACACATGCAATAGAAAGGGTTGAATTAGAAAAGTTAAAAATTCACAATAGACGATACTTGACGAATGCTAGCGCATTCTGATGGCATAGGTTACAATGTAATTGTGTATTCCAAAAGCTAAAGCACTTTAAATTCCTAAAAATATCGCAAGAAAGTGGTTCTTTTAAGGAGTGCTTCTATTCTTTGAGAGAATCAAATCAAATTAATGATCTTGTTGAATTTCAAATTATAAGGGAACCTTTTCTGGTATTTTATTGTTCTCTAAAGTTTTATTTCTCTAAATCATTTTATCTAACATTAGAATATATATCATTGTATAAATTCCTCATTTAATACTCTTTTTTATTTTAACAAACATAATTTGATGGGGTTTTGGGGTTTTGGGGTTTTGGGG